ACTATTTCCCAGCGGCTCTGCTGTGTAGAGTTCTAGGGTGACTAGAAATCGATTCTCTTCCACTTGTGGGAAGGCTGGGAGGGCTGGAGCAGCCGGTGGCACCTCTGGTTCACTAGCAATGGCCGTGTTCACATCCTCGGGCCCAGGCTAAGACGGGGAGGGGAGTGCAGAAGCGACAAAGGAACAGTTTTGGGGCTGGAGCAATAGTACAGCGGGTAAGGCGTTTTTGCCTTGCACGCAGCCGACCCGGGTTCAATCCCCGGCATCCCATATGGTCCCCCACGCATTGCTAGGAGTAATTCCAGGAATAACCCCTGAGAGTCACTGTGTGAACCCCCCACCCACCTCCCCCCCAAAAAAAGCAAAGGAACAGTGTCCCACAGCCAGCAGGCTGCTCTGGTCCCAAAAACCCTGCGTGCAGGCAGCTAGGCACGTGGGCACTGCTGGGGCACCCTGGGAAGTCTCTCGACAGCCCAAGGAACCCCGGGCCGGACACCACAGGAGCACCAGAGGCTTAGGAGGGCTGCTGTCAGCTTTCCCACTGCCTCCTCTGGAGCCTGGGGCCGCAGGCCCGGCCACCCCCACCGCTCTGCAGACCTTGCAGAGAGCCACACGCAGTGTCACTGATGAAAGGGAGGAAGGCGCCAGGAAGTGGTGGCAGGCCGGCCCAGGCGACAGGTCTGGCCTGGACTGCGGGGAGGTGGGCCGCCCTGGGCTCTCACCCTCCAGGCCGATTGTCAGCTTCTCTCTCACGGGGATCAGCAGGGAAGCACATGTGAGCCTGGGCTGCCGGCAAGCACCAGGGCCCTGTGTGAGTCTGCATGTAGATGAAGCCAGCCGGGCTTTCTCAGAGCAGCCCCTTTCTCCTGCCGGGCGCCCTGCTGGGACGGGCCTTTTCAATCCCTAGATCCCCCCTCCAGCTCTTCTCCCGCAGAACACAGGGAAACGGGATGGAAATAAAGACCCGGGCCACATGTTTTATTTTCTCCTGCTCAATCCATTTTAGAAAAGCTTTTAATTGGTTTTAAAAAGATGCTAAACAAAATGGGATGATGTTTTTCAGTCCTCGTGAACTACAGATACCACTTTTTTTTCTTAAAAAAAAAAAAACTTTCAAAAGGCTAATAAATCAATCATGAAATTAACTCTTCAGTTCAATGTAAAGCAAACCCCCCTGAACAACCAGGTTCATTAAAAATCCATGCATTTGCTTAAAAAAATTTAAAATTCAAAGAAAATTATCCTAGTAACTGAAATCTGACTTGAATTTTTAGTCCCCCACTGAAAATCTAGGACCAACGCCACCACAAAGGGAAAAAAGGAAGGCTTGTGAGCCGTTTAAGACAGGGGGCCAGGAGAGGGGAGCGGCAGAAGGGGGGTATCTTGATGCATAACAACAGAGCATGCCCGAGGGTTTCTCTTATTGGAGCCTGTGCACACATGCACACAACATTTCGGTGCGAGAGCTGGAACTGCAACAAACACAAAATGAGGGAGTCTATGACGGATATGATTGCTGGGCCATCTATGCACATCCAATTCTTTTTTTAAAAAAAATGCAGGCAACTTTTCTGTTTTCTGGACCGTGACAATGATTCTCTACTGCTCGGTACATCCCTACTATGCTACACTCAGCTTGCACGGGCTTCTGACGTTTAACTGGAGATGTCAGAAATGCCGGCGTGACACTGGTTTGGGGGAGAGAACCCTTCGACTGGGTCAGCAGAGCAAGGATGACATGACAAGTATCCACGAAAAGGGATTGGCCTGGCACTCTCCCCTCGTTTTCCAGAGAGGAAACAAACTAATCTGAAAAGCAAGCTGGCGAGACAAAAGCACATGCTAATCTTGATAAGTGTATGTTAGCCATGAACTTCCTCTGGCTCATGCATGTTAGCGATGAACTTCCTCTGGCACAGGTATGTTAGCCCTGTACTTCCTCTGGCACATGTATATTAGTCATGATTCCACTGGCACATATAGGTCACTAGGTAGTCAGTCAGTCACCCGATTCTGGTGTTCTAGAATCTCTGCCACGTGCAGTGACTGAAACACCCAGACTGACCCTTTACTTGTGTTTGCTTGTTCTCTATTTTCGGGCCACAGTCACGTGCTCAGGGCAACTCCTGGCTCTGCACTCAGGGATCGCTTCTGGTGGAGGTTGGGAGACCATAGAGGGTGCCTGGACCCAAACATGGGTTGGCTGTGTGCAAGACAAGTGCACTACCTGGTGTGCTATCACTCCGGCCTCTACCTTTTACTTCTGACATATCCTTATATCCTTCCTTTCAGTCCTTTGAGAAATTTGTTCCACAGCCCAACTTCTTTGGAAATGCTGAAGATCAAACCCAAAGCCTCCTGAATGTAAGCTACAAGCTTGACCATTGAGCTAGAGTTCAGTCCCTGCACCCTGGCTCACTACTTCCAACTTTCCATAGAAGTTCCCTTTCACCACTGAAATAGCTGCTGAAACTCAGTAGTGTGTGTGTGTGTGTGTGTGTGTGTGTGTGTGTGTGTGTGTGTGTGTACTATTCAATGGGCTCTAGTTAGAGTCACAAATACATGCCATCATCACCATAATCAATTGGAAAAACCTCTTCATCACCTGCAAGGAAACCGAGTGCTTCTCATTCACCCTCTGCAGTCGTTCAGGCCCTGGGAACTCACCAGTCCATTTCCTGTCCTGTAGCTCTGTCCAGGCTAGACATTTTCTATCAATGGGATCATGCAATATGCAGTCTCTTGTGATGTCTGGATTCCCTTGGCATGTTTTCATGGTTCACCCAAGCTATATCATATACGGTGACTTCGTTTTGATTTTTTTATCTTGAGTAGCATTCTATTGTATCACTTTCATCTATATGTGCACATATGTGACTTCAGTTACATTTTCTCTATATTTATATACTTATCACTAAAAGCAGACTTGCTAGCGACCTTATCTTTAACCATCTGGGGAACTGCGAGCCTGCCCGGTTTTTAGATTTTCACTAGCAGTACATCAGATTTTCAATTTCTCCATACACCTGCCAACGATCGGTATTCTCTTGAGTTTGTGATTATAGGCACCCCTGTGGATGTGAGGTGGTATTTCACTTTGGTTTTATTTTTCCATTTCCCCGAGAGCTAATAATATTGCATAGCTTTTCACTTGCTTATTAACAATGTGAACTTTACTTATTTTTCAGTGTTTTTACTTTAATCCTACCTCGCACATATAAACTACAGCAATAGCAAAATATTTCAAGTCCCACCAAAATTATGGACCACTCAAAAAATTCTTTGATTAAGTGATACATGGTTTCTGTTGTTGAATTCATGAGTTAATTTCAAAAACCTTCTGTGCAGGAAGCTGCAAGATGTGAAAGGGTAATATAATATCACTTTCTTTCAGATTCTTACAATTATTTTTACAATAATTATAAACTCAATTGTTTATAGTTATTCCTTAATCCCAGTTATTCTTTAAACAAACTGTTGCATGTAATTTGTTAAGAGACTTTTTTATTTCTATTAGTATCCATTTTGGATTGTAAATAATTTCCAGCTAGCATGTCTTTGTGTTTAAGTGAATGTTTAGTCTTTAGCAATATAAAGGCAGATAATTTGGAAAATACCATTAAAAAATCATTATCCCTGTAACTTTTTTTATTTTGCTTTTGCTTTTGCTTTTTGGGTCACACCTGGCTTTGCACAGGGGTTATTCCTGGTGGTGCTCGGGGGACTGTATGGGATTCTGGGAATCAAACCTGGGTCGGCCTCGTGCAAGGCAAACGCCTGACCATCTGTGCTATCACTCCAGCCCCTCCCTATGACTTTTAATGTAAATTCTTTTTAGTTAAAAAAAAAAAAGGAATGAATTTAACTACTCCTAATTTAATAATTCTTAACATCCTAAATTATCAAAATATTTTTTGGGTGACATGGAGATACTGGGCAGTAATTATCTTTGTTTCAGCAACTAAAGAGATATTTATTTATGTGTTTACTGAAGAAATTGAAGAGGCCAAAGAAATGGGTAGGGTGTTTGCTTTGCATACAGCCCACCCAGGTTCGATTCCTGGCATCTCATATGGTCCACTGAGCACTGTCAGGAGTAATTCCCAAGTGCAGACCCAGGTTAGTAAGCCCTGAGCAGTGCTGGGTGTTGCCCCAAAACAAAACAAACCAAAAAAAAAAAAAATACTGCAGAAGATACTAAAACTTCAATTTTGGGAAATGCTCAAAAATTACCTATAATGCACCTTTATGCAAAGATGTTACTGTGTTTGGCATATTGAATGCGCCACAGGTAGCTTGCCAGGCTTTTCCGTGTGGGTAAGATACTCTCAGTAGCTTGCCGGGGTTTCTGAGAGGGGCGGAGGAATCGAACTCGGGTCGGCCATGTTGGCTGCGTGCAAGGCAAATGCCCTACCTGCTGTGCTATCACTCCAGTAACAAGTCTCACAATGTTACTGGGCCCACTCGAGCAAAATCGATGAATGATGGGAGCACAGTGACAGCGACAGCGATGCAAAGATAACTTTAAAAAATACCTTTTTATGGCTGGAGTGGCAGTAGAGTGGGCAGGGCATTTGCCTTGTTTGTGGATGACCTGGGTTTGATCTCCAGCACCACACGTGATGCCTGGAGCACCACCAGGAGGGACCCCTGAGTGCAGCACCAGGAGGAAGCCCTGAGCACAACTGGGTGTGGCCCCCAAACAAAAACCACATCTTTTCTTGAAGCTTATCTATAGTAAATTTCCAAGTTGGTGGATTTTTTCACTATTCTAGAAATATGGGATTTAAAAAATATTATCAGAAGGGAATAGAAAACCGATTATTAAGAAATCATTTACTTTAAACCAGAAAGCCAGACCAGATGATCTTCCAAAATCCTTTTCACACTAAATTTGTGTTTGTAATAGCCTATTTCTTTAGAAAGAGTTCACTTTTATTTACTTACAACTTACCAGGAAAAAAAAATCCTGTGGGAGGAAAAAAATCTAATGTTTTTACCTGCGGAGGCGCCTTCTTCAACAGCACAAGGAGAGCCTGCAACACCAGGTTGGAGAAGCGAGGGCCGATGGGGACGTAATCTGCAGGAGAAGGCGGCCGGGATTAGTGTGGACACACAACGCATGAAGCCCAAACCTCTCTGTCTTTTCCTACCTCAGGAGTGAACACAGTTCCAAAAGAAGTCATGCATTAAAACTGGGGAGAGAACGATCTCCACTAAATTTACTGCTTAACATTTGGGGGATGTGGGCCATGCCCAGTGGTGCTCAGGGGCTACTCCTGACTCTGTGCTCAGGGATAACTCCTAGACTCCTAGTGGTGCTGGGGATCAAATCAGGATCAGCTGCATGCAAGGCAAGCACCTGACCCTCTGTTATTTCTCCAGCCTCAATACTTCGATACTTATAAATATTTATTATAAATATCACTGGAGCACTGTCCTCCTATTGTTCATCGATTTGCTCAAGTGGGCACCAGTAACATTTCCATTGTGAGACTTGTTGTTACTGTTTTTGTCATATCGAATACATCACGGGGAGCTTGCCAGGCTTTGCTGTGTGGGCTGAATACTCTTGGTAGCTTGCCGGGCTCTCCAAGAGGGGTGGAGGAATCGAACCCAGGTTGGCCATATGCAAGGCAAATGCCCTACCTGCTATGCTATTGCTCCAGCCCAATACATAAATAATTCTTTGCTGTAAAAAAAGTATTAGAGGTTGGAGGTTTGAGCCACACCCAGCTTGCTCAGGGCACTGTTTGCAATGCAGGTGATGGAACAACCAAGGTCAGCTGCATGCAAGGTAAATGCTTTAAACCCTGTAAATTGTTCTCTAACCCTTGGGGGGAAAAATGAAAGCTTTTAAATAGACATTTTATGGCTTTTGTTTGTTTGTTTTGCTTTTTGGGTCACACACGGCAATGTGACAGGGGTTACTCCTGGCTCTGCACTCAGGAATTGCTCCTGGCAGTGCTCCCCAGGTTGGCTGTGTGCAAGGCAAGAAGCCCTACCCGCTGTACTATTGCTCCAGCCCTAGAGTCTGTTTTTTCCAAAGGAGGAAAATAACCCAGATATATTTTGCAAGCATTTTCAAGAAATTGCTGCAAACGCAGGCAACACTTGTCAGTATGCAGGAAATACCTGGTTCCTGAAAAGGAGGGAAAGATACTAAGTCATACTCAAGGAAGCAAGGGAGATCGTATGATGGTAGAGTCACAAGGGTTGGTCATGGCAGAGTGGAGAACTATCTCTCCAGGAACCTGCGACCAGTCGTCCATCCTGACTGCAGAAACATCCCCGCTCCGGCTTCTCTGTACACTGTACACCTGGACCTTTGAAGATGCACTGACCCCTCCCTTTTCTGAACATCTGAGACACATGGGACATTCTACCTTGCGTCCATTTCTGCCAAGGTACACCGTGACTATAGACATCAATTATTTTTGAAAATAATTCTAGCACAGAAGCGCTCCCAGCAAATACATGCTGACTAACAGAGCAAGCAAGAGCCAACAACCATTCCTCTGGCGCGAGCGCACTCTGTTAGAGAGGGCATACGTTTCCTGACCACACACGCAACTGTGTTTAGATAAAGGAAGTCGCACAGAGCCATGAGTATGGTGCCTAAAAGCTTTTACAGAAATAATCCTATAAACGGAGCTGGAAGGTATCAAAAGTAGTTGACTGAGAACTAGCAGGTTACTAGATAAAAAGATCAATTTGAGAAGACCTCTCAGATATACTTGCTTTATTTATAACAACCACTGCCTTAGGAAACGGAAACATAAATGATAGAGGATGTAAAGCAAAACCGAAAATGATGGGAAAATAGTAAGAACAGCACATGGGGGTCAGTCCCCGTGCCATTACACGGGTTCCTCCAGGTGACAGGCAGTGTTTTAGATACTGACTGCTAAGTCACTGGACTGACTCAATTTCGGGAGAATTTATCACAGCATTCGGAGTCATTGTCATAATTAATTTATTTTAGATAGATCTGGTTTTTGCAATGAAATAAAATACGAGGAACAACGCTTTCAAGCCTATGAGTAGATAGTCATATCTTCTGAATGGGGGGGGCAGAGACCGGCAGATTCACCTTACAATCCGCAAGAAGTGTGCTAACTACACACGGGCATTGTCTTTACAGCTTCTTAAGAGAGAACTACCTTTCAGAATGTCTTCCACATCCTTAGCCTATTTCAGTCTCTAGAATTCTTATCGGGAGAAGGAAGGAAGGAAACCGTGTCCCTGTTTGATGAGTGCGGAAGCTTAGCTACGAGTCCTGATGGCAGCTCCTTCTTTCTTAGCTCCACTCAGGCTCCCAAGTGGGTGTCTGAACTATAGGCAAGTCCAAGGTGCTGAAGTGCTTATTCACCCATCAGCAAAACTTACTGACCATTTACATGGACGAGGAGCCCTGAGTATAGAACGAAATAATAAATTATAAGGGTACTTAGAGGAAAGCAGTTTAATAGTGGAATCATGGTCTGGAGGCATATTCAATATTTAACATAATTCCATCATTGGCCTCAGATCGAAGATTTGTTATATTTCCTTGGAAGACAAAAAGGAAAGCATGGGGGCAGGAGCGATAGCACAGTGGGTAGAGTGTTTGCCTTGCACGTGTCCAACCTGGGTTCGATTCCCAGCATCCCATATGGTTCCCCGAGCATCACCAGGAGTAATTCCTGAGTGCAGAGTCAGGAGTAACCCCTGTGCATTGCCGGGTGTGACCCAGAAAGCAAAAAAAAGGAAAACATGTCAATTGACTCCAGTTTATAAATACCTCTTCTATATATACATATATATTATTTTTTTTCCCTCTCTCAGAATTTGTACAAAATTCCTGTGATGTGCAAATCTAACACAAAGTTTATGACTCACCGAGCAGTCTTTCGATGTCATCCACAACCACGCAGCTCAGCTGGGATTTGTACGCATCATCAAAGATCTGCAAGAAAGCAAGACCACTGGTCATCTCACTGCCCTCTACAATGACGACAATGTCCAGGAAGAGACAAAGCATTCTTGAGCAATGTTTAAAGCACAGTCCAACACCAATATTTTCCGCATACATATTCACTTAGAATTTTATAGATAAAAAGACCTGAACCTCAAACGCCCTTGCAATATGAAAACAAGCCGACTGAGCCCAGGGGTGTGGCTCCAGCAGCAGATTAGCTGTCTAGCACCTGCCAGCCCCCGAGCCTGGGGCCTGGCAGCCCTGAGCACTGCCAGAAGTGCCTCCCCCAAATAAATAAAAAACAGACAGCGGGGCCCAAAGCCATGGAATGACTTGCCCAAGATGGACATAACTGGATGGCGGCTGAGTGAGAAGCGGCCAATGCCGCTTGCCGTCCCACGAGCTGGGCATGGCACACCGGGGCACGCGGGGGCCAGCGTTCACTCCTCTACCTGCCAGCCCCATCTGTTTCATCATGACTGTCTCTCTGATCTACATCTGGGGCAGGACTTTGGTGCTGGGACTCAAGAGCTAGACGGATGCCCCCCCCCCACCACACCTGGGAGTGTGCGGGACGTGATAGGGCGTCATTTTCTTATCTCTAACAAGTGTAGTCCCCGAGAGGCAAGAGTATCGTGGGAAGAAAAAGATGCTGCCAACTCCAATCAGGCCACAGCTAAAAGTGTTTACGAGAGAATTAAAGTTGGGTAGAAAGGATCAAATATAACTGGCTCTATCTTTAGCATCAGACAAAAGATAATAGTACATTGTCTTATGACAGCCAAAGAAATGCAAATTAAAGCAAGCAGTGAAGAAAACTGTTATATTCTGAGAAGGATATAGCAATTTCAAGCCAGACAGATTAACCAGTTTATGTATAAATTGAATACAAATGCCCACGGCCTTGAATCCAGCCTTTTTGAAAGATTTGGGGATTCTTATTCCAGCAACTATAATTGGGACTTGGTTTACTCCTTGGGTGCAATCTGTAAAAACCATCTTCCACCCCAGCCCAGTCTGTTGAGGTGGTAACTAAGCTCAGGGCACCAAGATGCTAACCCTTCTCCCCACCTTGCTTTAGGTGGCTTATTTTTTCAGTGAGTGTTTTCTTAAAAAGAATTGGGGGTCACACTTGATGATGCTCAGGGATCACTTGTGGTGATGCTGGGGGTGGAGCAGTCAGATCAAACCTCCCCCTCCAGGGGCTGGAGAGATTGTACAATAAGTAGGGCATTCAGCTGACCTGGGTTCGATCCCCAGCACCCCACATAGTCCCCTGAGCACCGCCCGGCATAATTCCTGAGTGCAGAGCCAGGAGAAACCTCTAAGCATTGCTGGGTGTGTCCTCCTCCCTGTCCCCCCCCGCCCCCCGCCCCCCCCCGCCAAAAAAAACCCCCCAAAAAACCCTAAACAAATTTGACCCTCCAGCAAGCAAAGCATGAGCACTGGCCCTGTGAGTTACCTCCCTGGCCTTCAGAGGCTTTATTTTCATCACAGAGGGTGAAGTTTAGAATAAAGTAAGGGTCAGAGAGATACCACAGGCCGCAGAGCACACACCTCGCAAGCAGCTAAGACCAGGTCAATCCCTGGTACCACCTGGTTCCCTGGGCATGACTGGGTGCAGTCCTGGAAGGCCTGGGTCAGGGCTATCCCCAGCACTGCAGGTTCACAGAACACCCCCATCCTTGGGCCCCCACATCAAACCCTGGCCAGATGGGCCGAGCAGCAGCAGGAGGGAACCCCAGGCTTCCTGAGTCACCCCCCTAATGAAATTAAATTAAAAGAATAAAGAGGCCAGAGCAATAATACAGCAGGGAGGGTGCTTGCGTTGCACATGGCCTATCCAGGTTTGATATCCTGCCCCCACTTGATCCCCAAGCACCTCCAGGAGTGATTCCTGAGCACAGAGCCAGGAGTAATCCCTGAGCACCACTGTCTCTGGCCCTGATGCCGACCCCCCTAACAAAGGATATAACTGAGAATTGAGAAGAAGAAGAATAAAAGGAGGAGGAGAAGGAGGAGGAGGAGGAGGAGGAGGAGGAGGAGGAGAGGAAGGAGGAAGAGAAGAAAGGAGAAGGATAAAGAAGAAGAAAGAAGAAGGAAGAAGAAAAAAGAAGAGAGGAAGGAGGAGAGGATGAAGAAGAAGAAAGAAGAAGAAAGGAAGAAGGAAGAAGAGGAAGAGGGAGAAGAGGAGGAGGAGGGGAAGGAGAAGGAGACGAAAAAGAAAGAAGAAGAAGAAGAAGAAGAAGAAGAAGAAGAAGAAGAAAGGAAGAAGGAGGAGGAAGAGGAAGAAGAAGAAAGGAAGAAGGAGGAGGAAGAGGAGGAAGAGGAGGAAGAGGAAGAGGAAGAGGAAGAAGAAGAAGAAGAAGAAGAAGAAGAAGAAGAAGAAGAAGAAGGAGGAGGAGGAGGAGGAGGAGAAGGGGGAGGAGGAGGAAGGAGGAGGAAGAGGAGGAAGAAGAAGGAGGAAGAGGAGGAGGAAGAAGAAGAGGAGGAAGAAGAGGAAGAAGAGGAGAAGGAGGAGCAGGAGGAGCAGGAGGAGGAGGAGGAGGCGGCAATGGCGGCATTTGGGGGTAGAGAATGCTGAAATGATGAGGAGGCCCGAGAGGTGTTCCAGGAGAAAGGGTAAAGGAGGAAACTCAAGAACTCAGGACTGAATCTCAGACTGCCCTATTCCCTCCACAAATATTTTTCTTTTTTCTTTTTGTGTCACACTCGGCAACGCAGAGATTATTCCTGGCTCTGCACTCAGGAATTATTCCTGACGGTGCTTGGGGGACCATATGGGATGCCAGGAATCGAACCCGGGCCGGCCACATGCAAGGCAAATGCCTTACCCAATGTACTATGGCTCCACCCACTCCACAAATATTTTCCAGCTCTATTGTGTGTTGAGCACCGAGGGCAACAGAATCTCATCTGTCTCATTCACAATGCGGCCAGGAAAGTTCTGCCTTCGCATGCTGCTCTATCCAGCACGTGTCAACATGCGGGAGGTGATGCAGGCAACAGGGTGGAATGTGCCAGGAAGCTGTGGGAGTTGCTGGGGACCCAGGCGCCACTGATTCTCTTTATGCGGGTGGCAGCGGGTGAGGCTACTAAGTGGAAACGTGTCCCTTAGTGGAAAGTGCCCGCAGAGCCATGGCCTGACTCTCGCCTCCCTCCACCCGGCGCTGGCTACTGGGGGCCCACATGTGCTCAGAGCTCCTGGCAGCCACTTGCAGGGCCTGTGAGGCGACAACCGACAGGGCCGCTGCTCTCAGCCATGGTGGCCACAGTGTGAGCCAGAAATAAATGGTGCTTTGGGTGTTGTTTTGTGTGTGTGTGTGTGTGTGTGTGTGTGTGTAAGCCTTTTAGATTTTTTTGGGGGGTGGGGGGGCAGTGACTATTGCAGTGTAATTTAGCCTACTCAAACAAGGTTCTTGGGGTCAACAGGGTTGCCTACATTTAAATGGGATATTGGGGATGGAAAGGAGAAATAAATAGTCAGAAATGGGGACAAGTCATTCTGAGTAAGATGAAAAGGAGCTCCGGAGAGGACCGGAGCTACGGTATAGCAGGCACGGTACTTGCCATGCACCTGGCCGGCCTGGGTTCCATCCCTGGCACCTCATGTGGTCCTCCCAGCACTGCCAGGAGTAGGGCCTGAGCACTGCTGGGTGTGGCACCTCCCTCAAAGAAAAAGGTATTTACTATTTTAGCCTCTTTTTTGCTTGTTTGGGGTCAGGAGTATCTTTTTACTATTTGGGTCACACCCGGCAAAACAGAGGGGTTACTCCGGGCTCTGCACTCAGGAATTACTCCTCGCGGTGCTCAGGGGACCATAAGGGATGCTGGGAATCGAACCCAGGTCAGCTGCATGCAAGACAAATACTACCCGCTGTACTACTGCTCCAGCCCTGATGCTCAGGAGTTACTCCCCGCTCTGCACTAAGGGATCATTCTTGAGGGTGCTCGGGGGACCATATGGGATGCTGGGGATTGAATTCCAGTCAACCACATGCGAGGCAAGTGACCTACCTGCTGTACTATCACTCCCCTCCCCCAACCCCCAGAAGCTTTTTAGTCATTTTTTGAAGACAAGTCCAGCACAGTGGACAATATTCTATAAACTCATGATTTCAAGGAGTCACTGACAAATTATACTTTGTTCTTCAAAACATCTTCAGAACCAGGGGCCAGAGAGATCGTACGGTGGGCAGGGCACTGGCCTTGCATGAGGCCGCCAACACGGGCCCTATCCCCGTCACCCCATAAGATGCCCAGAACCCACCAGGAGTGATGCCCTGAGCGCAGAGTCAGGAGTAAGCCCTGAGCACCCAAGCCAAACAAAACAAATCTCAGCATTCCATGAAAGGCTGGGCTGCACACACCTAATTCTGCAGCCCTAGCATCGCGGGTGCAGTCACTGGGGCCACGGCCATCCTGGACAGGCTGTGAGCAGGAGCTGTCCACTCTTTGGACTCAGCCCTGGCCTTGCCCTAAGCAGAGCGGAGCTTCCACGGGTCCAGGGACTCCCTGAAACACTGCTGGCATCCAAACCGATGAGCGATCCGAACGGTCTCATCAGCCCATCCCAGACACCGTGGTTTGCCTTCAAAGCCTCTTCAAATCATTTCGCAGCTGACCTATGACATTTCAGAAGAAAATTACCCACAGCAATCATCTACTGTGACCTTTTTTTTTTTTTGGCGGAAGAGTTTTTAATGTACTACTAATTACTACTGCAGGGAGGGGGACGCTCACAGCTCACTCTCTCAACAATGTCCTAACCCTGACAGCGACTTGGCAATTCCAGTTGTGACCTGACCGGTTTCGAGCCGCAAGTCTACCCTCATTCACACGCGCACACCCTCTCCCGACGCGCACCTCCTCGCCCCGCTCTCTGCACTGGGGTGACACGAGGGCACTGGCTTTGCCCCAGGTTGGCGTCTCCTGGCTAGTCTGCTCCCTCGCCGCCCATCTCGGCTTCCTGGCCCAGGCCCAAGCAG